ACGTCTACCTCACTCTTAACAATCGCCTGCCTTAACTCTGCTGGAACAATTTGACCTCTTCCGCAGTTGATTTGCATCAATTTAATGTCTATTTCAGATGCCATTACTCGAACGTAATTGTGTTTTGATAACGCTCGAGGGCCATTTTATAGGCCGCAAACTGTTTGTTATTTCTTGTGTGCAAGTGCGGCTTACCCAGTCTTTTACACGCCGCGCATTGACCCTGTTCTTTTTTCTTGGTACACTCTTTGTACCTGTGTCCGGGTTCTGAGCAGTGGGAACAAATATCCTCTTGTTCCCTACAGAACTTTGCGACATGTCCAAAACCTTAGCACTTAAAGCATCGACTTATTCCTATGTAATCTTTAACTTTACAACTGCAAAAGTCAACGAACAGTCTGCCTTGCCTTAACAATTTTCCTCTGATATTGGGTGTGACTTCCATCACCCAATGCACCTGGTCTTCCCTTCTTTTTCCAGTTTTGAAGAGAAGTTTGCAATCGTTACCTCCGTCTGTTGAAGAGAACACCTCTTGATTTTGAACCTGAAGTGCTTCAAGCAACTCTCTTTCCTCTAGCTGCCTAGGAACGTCATACAAAATTACTTTAGGGTTTCTTTTGCTTTGTTGTTCCGCCTTTAATCCAGAATCCCTCAGCTTTTTGTTCTGAAGGAGTTTCTCGATGTCTCCATCAGTTTCCACTTCCAAAAGAAGACCTTTATTGCGAAGCTTACGTATTTGTCGGAACTTTATCCGATCTTTCCTGGGGTCTATGGCTTTCATAAACTTTGCTTTCAGTTCGTCACTGTCTTTTATGCCCCCAGGATTATCTGGCCTAACAAACATCACCTTATGCGATTTGTGCGAACTTTCAGGTTTGTTATACCCTGTAATGCCTCGCTTTGTAACTTCCGCGAAGCTTGCCGGCACTTGTGGTTGTTGTTCTTGTGCCTTAAGTTCTAATTCTCTTTCATACTTGCCCTGCAATCTTTCATGTTCGGTTAGCAAATTTAGTACCAGATCTTGTATGGCCCCTACGTGGTCTAAGACCTTTTCTGCAGCTTGCTTTGTGATCTTGTTATCACGGTCTAGACATGTAGCTTGCAGGTCTGATACTATTCCTCTTAGTGAGGACAACACACTCTGCCTTATACTTGCCGGTGGGGTACCTCTCGACCGGCGTTTTATCACTGGTGGGGAGAAATTCATGTCTTCTCCGCTACTACTCCGCTTTCGTTGAGAGGACGGTTCATTGACATCCATCTGCAAAATGTCTTCGTCCTCAGACGTGAGGGATTCACTAATTGTGTGTAACACTTTTAAATCTGACAATTCTTTTTGCGACATTTCATTAAGTTTGTTTGAAGATACTCTGGGTCGCTATGGGCAACTACATCGCACTTCGGCCAGTTTTCCGTTCCAGGTTCCAGTGGCATCCGACTCAACCCCCAGTGGCCTCGGCAGAGCCCCCCGCCGCGTGCCGCAGGGCCCTCTCCAGTCGCCAACTGGCACTACGACACACGACGAGATTATTCACCCGCTGATAAGGCAGCCAGCCCCATTTGGCTAGAAGGAGCCGGGCCTCTGTACTATCGGGCGGCCCGGGAGTGCGAACCCGGTTTTAAGCTGTACCCTCTGGGGGAGAGCCGTCAACCCAACCTTTTCCTTCCAGCAGACCTCCGTTGCGGGTTCATTGACTTAGAGAACCCGGAGCCGCCGCTGCACTATTTAGTTTCACCCAGGGACGTCCTAGGCTACTCGGCCACCCCGCCACGACCAGGCAAGCGCATTCGACTTGTGGGGGATGAGACCCCACCCTTTGAGGTGGAGTAGATAGGGACATCCCGTTCCAAAGGTCCCACCACCACCCCTACTGTACCTGCGTGAGCGTACCAGTAGGCCCTGAGACTTAATAAAACACCAATCCACTATCTACTAGACCTATGCACCATACCCATAAGGTCAACCAGTAAAATTTTTTATTGGCATGGTATGGTCATGCCAACACCATGTATGCACCATACACCCAGTGCCTTCCCCGAGCAGGAGGGGAAACCAAATACCTATAATCAAAAAATAAAAATAAAAATAACATAAGTAAAAGTAATATATAATAAATATACCCAAAGAATAAAAACAAATAATATAAAACATAAAAACAATATAAAATAAAACAATAAAACAATATAACCTATACCATAACCGGTGCGCCCAGATAACCAGAAATACTAATTACCAATAGTAAAACTAAATATACAACCATATATATATATATACAACCCATATATGTAAACCATATATACATAAATAAATACCATATAAACAAAATAAATACCATATATATTAAAAACCATATATGTAATAAATACATAACCAAATACCATAAAAACCAAAATATAAAAAACCTTATAAAATCAATATCATATACAATAGTAAAACTAAATATATAACCATATATATATATATACAACCCATATATGTAAACCATATATACATAAATAAATACCATATAAAAAAAAATGCACCATACCCAACAATAAAATATAAATAAATAAATATACCCCCCAAAAACTAAAATAGGCCTAGCAGAACCCTTAATACCATTAAACACAAGTTTAATAATACAAGGGACCAAACAGCTAAAAATATACAATACATCCATAAAACCAAATATAATAATATAATACACCATAAAAATATAAATAAACCAATAAATATAAAACAAATCTAAACACCAACCCTTAAAACCATACGCTTCTTAAACATATTTAATAAAATTTTATATGCACCATTATAATTATACCTATT